CCCCTCCCGCGCCGCGCCCGTTGTGCCGCGCCCTCGCTGGCGGCGCCGCCCCCGCGGCCAGATACCTGCCGCCGGCCCCCCAATCCCGCGCGGCCCGGGGTGGCGGATCGCAGGGGTGTGGGCGCCGGCTCGCCTCGGGGTTCGGCCTCGGGTCTAGGACAGGAGTGGCGATGCCGCCCCGCCCGCTTGCCGGCTCCGGGCGTGACATCCTCCAGCCCACCTCTCCGCAACGCACTGGCGCCACGCTTGCTTCTCTCAGACCCATTACTGGACCGGTAGAGGTCCTGGGTTCTCCACCCAGGGGACAGACGCCTCTTTGGGCTCAGCACTCGGTCGCGTGCAGGGAACAGGCCCGCCACCCCCACCCATAAGGGAGCAGGCTCCCCGTGGGACCATAGGTGGGAGAATGCTCCTGAGGCCACCTGGGATTGGCCGCCCAGCATGAATGGCACAGGGCTCCCTCTCCTGCTCCCTGCTCCCACCCATGTCCAAGACCCTTCTCCCGGGCACCAGCCGACTTCGGTCCTCTAGCTGTGTGTTCCACATTTGGGCTTTCTGGTTGACCACTCCCTACTGGTAGGGAACGGAGCATGTCACCAGCTGCCCCCTTACCCATCTACAGAGGAAAATGACTGTTCCAGGGTGTGCTGAGTCTGAGGTAAGGATTTGCAGATGGTCCGAAACAGGCCCAGCACGCAGTAAAGTGCCTGACAAATAGTAGTGATTTCCATTCCCATCACATTCCCCCTTTCTGGCAGCCCCTTAGGCCTGGGGCCAGGAGTCCCTGGTGAAGGGTTGGCAGGCAGGCTTGGTGATAGGCCCAGGGAGCTGGCAGGTGGTGGTGGCCAGGTATGTGGCCACCCTCCGAGGGTCTCTTCGGGGACGGTTCCCAGTTAAGCTGGCAGGCTGTGGTGGGTAAAGGGCAGTGGGGGGTGGGGCACAGATGTCCCACCCACCCGACTGGTCATCCCCTTCCCAGGGCAACAGCCATACCTCTGCAGGCCTTGGGTTAACCCCTGGCACTGGAGGGCCAGGCTGGAAGTGGTGACAGGGAAACCCAGTCTCTACAATTCCCCACTAGGGACAGGAGACCTACTGACCCCAAGAAGGGACCCAGAGTGGGGCTACTGTTCCCTGAGCGAGGAGGGAGGTGACATTGGAAGCAGGTATGATGGAAAGAGGACTGTCCAACAGGGAGGGAACTGCAGCGTGAGGGTCCGTCTGGGCTGGGAGGGCTTCGAGAACAAGCCTGACTGGCCACCCTCTGCATTCAGCCAGCAAACTGTACTGCACCCCCACCCCACCCCCTCTTCATGGCAGTGAGTGAGCCTCACCTGGCCCCATGGCCAGCTTTACAGACCTGAATCTATCTAATAAGCCCTAGGTCGAGGCAGGACACTGACCCAAATGGGTGAAGCTAAGGAAGTCAACACAACAGAAATATGCCGGCGGGACAGACCAGGACACAGGGCACGGACACTGTTTATTGAGTGGCAGGTGCAGGAGAGGTAGCTGGCTCCGGTGTGGAAGCGGAGGTGGCAGGTCATGCCAGGGTGCTGTGGGCATCTGGCAGGCAGGGCCGTGTCCCCCACCCTAGGGGGGAGCGGCATAAGCTCACTAGCACAGGAGCAACCAAGGAGCCAGCTGGGGGAAGAGGCGCCACAGCTGAGCGATCCTGGGCAAGAAGTGGCACGTGAACTTGGCACAGGGGCCTGGGCTGAGGGGGCCTGGGGTCTGGGCATCCTGGGGCAGGGGGTGTGGTCACGTTTGTGGAGTAGAGTAGAGGCTGTGGTAGTGCCTGCCTGGCACCTGGGGGCAGAGCACAGGAGCAGTCCGTATCTGGCTGGTCTTGCAGCAGGCTGATTCCTGACCAATGGTGCCATATTGCCGGCTGGGGCTCAGGCTGCCCAACATTCTACAGGAAGAGAACCCAGGTCAGTGCTAGGGCAGTGCCTGGGGCTGTTCCCTGAGGGAGAGGGAAAGGGAGGGAGTTCTCTGCCCTAGACTTTTAGGGGTACCTCCTTCCTGGGGCTGAGTCAGGGGGACACAGTGGCCAGCATACCGACAGGAAAGCAGTGGCCTCCATGGGCTGAGAGGTAGCTCTGGATCCCCCAGGGCTCACCAGCCACCTACCTGGTACTCTCCTCCCAGCTGCAGCCCTGGTTGTCACGGTGCCCCGCCCGGTCGTAGAAGTAAGACCGGGAGCTGAAGACCTGTCTGTTAAGGATGCGGCTGGTGCTCTGGGGAAGAGACCACATGCCATGCTTTCTATGGACCCCCACCCTTCCTCCCCTCAGGGCAGTCCACCAGGGGTTCCCGGCAGTGTCCACCCGCCTCCTCGGGGGCCGCAGGTCCTCACCGGGTCCTGGGGAGGCCGGTGCACCCGGAAGTAGCCCACCAGCAGGGTGGTTGGCAGCAGCTCCCACACAAAAAGGATGAGGCCGAACACCAGGTAACCTTTGTTGCCCAAGTCGTTCACCAGGTCCGCCTGCAGGAGGGAAGGTCAGGCCAGGCCTCAGGGGTGCTCTTGGTGCCCCCAGGGCAGCAGGGGGAAGGAATGGGGGCCCAGGGCAGTGAAGGGCAGCGGCTGGGCCCATGGCTACATGGAGGCCAATGACTTGCTGGGTGCTCACCTGGTCAGAGACATCGTACCAGTCGTAATCAAAGGCATCCAACCGGCTCCGGGGGGCCAAGGCCAAGGCCGCCAGGTTGTAGCAGGCCCGGCTGGCATAGAGCAGGACCATGGTGCCACCCATTGCAGCTGCCTGGCAGACACTGGTCCCCTGGCACAGGCAACAACAGGAGATGCTCAGAATGAGACGCATGTACCCTGGAGACTGATGCCCATCGCAGCATGGCTACCCAGAGGCCCCGAAGCACGCCCTACCTTGGCTTCCAGGTAGATGCTAGTGTAGGGGGCCCGCCGGGCCAATAGGCAGAGGCAGGCAGCAAGAGAGAGGGCGCAGATGACGAAGAGGGAGTCGCTCACCAGGATGCGCACGAGGAGCAGGGCCCAGGGCTGTGCGCGGCGCTGGCGAGACAGCACCGCGCACAGTACATTCACCAGCAGGAAGAGCAGCGATGCGCCCACGAAAGCCCCTCGGATGGCCAGCCTGCAGCCCACAGCAGTGTTAGCCCCTGGGGGCTCGGTGCTCTCCCCGCCTCCCCACAGAGCCCCAGAGCCTAGCAGGAACCTGGATCTGCCAGCCTGAACCCTGTGCCTCCAGTTTTACATATTGGACAACTGAGGCCCAGAGAAGTCAGGAGGTGACTTCAGGGCCGTGACTCGGTTTGGCGAGCCACCCCTAGACTGGAAGTCAAGAAATCTGGGTCTGAGGCACAGGCTTGCCTCCAGCTAGCTATGTGACCTTGAGCCAGTTCCTCTGCCTGACCGGCCCGATTCCTCATCTCTCACATGGCGATCATAACCATCTCAAGGAAGCAAGGAAGACAAGAGGTGTCCGCAAAAGCTCTTGGTAGGTGGTAAGACGTTACACAAATGACAGGGGGACCACAGCCCCGGGTCAGCCAGGGGTGCGGGTGGGTCCTGTGGCACCCTCCATCCTGCGTGGCACCAGTCCCCTCTCCCCTCCTAGGCTGACGACTGTGCCTATTAGTGGTGCCATTTGGGGACACCATGCCTCCCTGTGGCGGCACCGTCTGCTCCAGGTGCACTAGCTTTCCTAAGTGGGGTGGCGTTTCGCTCTGTTGTGCAGGGGGTCGACTAGATGACAATTAAGACCAAGAACAAGCTCCTTCACAGATGGCTGTTGTCCATCCCTCCCTCCACCCCGACTGTCCTCACCTTGGTCCTATACGGTGGGAATGGATGGGCATGGGGCTGCTCCCTGCCTCTGGACTAGGGGCAGAGCCCACGGGGCCGTGGGGAGGGGGCAAAGGGGGACCTGGAGTACTTACAAGCCTCGACTCATCTGGGGCCTGCGCTTCGCCTTGGCCTTGAACACCACCTGGGAGCAGAGACACCCATCCCTGAGGTCCTTGCCGCTTGTCTGGCTCCCTCCCCCCCTATGCTGCCCACTGCCACGGTTACCTGGACAAAGTAGAGGTTCATCAGCGTCAGCGTGAAGAACTGCAGGCAGACAGGGCAGCAGTAGAGGAGCCAGAAGGGCAGGGGCCCCAGGCGGGTGGCTCGGGGGGTGTCTCGGAAGTAGAAGGAGAAGAGGGTGGTTCGCAGCGCGGCCCAGAGCAGACAGAGTGCCAGGAACACGGTCTGGTAGCTGAGCCGCTTGTGTCCATACAGGAGCACCAGCCAGAGCTGGGCATAGACAGTGAAGAAGAGCAGGACGTAGAGGGTGATGTAGGCCGCGGTCAGCCCCAGGGTCACGGCAGGCGGCAGCGCCGGCACCAGGCCAGCAGCAGGCACCAGGCCAGACAGGTTACTCTCCATGTGTCAGGAAGGGAGGCCTGGAGCCCAGAGGAGAGAGAGATGGAGGGGCTGGCCGGGGGCCAGGGAAATAAATACGGAGGGGAAAGGACTGCAGGTGCGGCCGTCGGCAGAGAGGTGGGGACCTCAGGGCGTTAACAAGTTGTGGCTGGCTGGGTCCCAGTCGTGGGGGTCGCAGGCCGTTCGGCCCCGGCCCCCTGTCTCAGGGGCGTGGGAGGACAGTCTCTCCTCGCCGCGGTAGACGGGCTTTCCTTCCTGGGCTGCCCCCAGAGCTAGGTGGGTGGGTGCGGAGGCTGAAGGGGAGGTGGGGGGGTCCCCGGGCCGGGCTCGCGGGAGGAGGGAGAGCGGGTCGAAGAAGTCAGTTGAGTTAGAACAGCAGCCCCTGCAAGGGGTCGCCCCAACGACCCGCTCTCCCCCTCCCCAGGCGTTGGGGAGCTCTTTCCCCTCCAAGAATCCGAATAGAGACGCCTTTGGCTTCCCTCCTCAGGATTCCCAATGCCCCCCACCTCCCCACCGCGTCCCCTCTCCGGCCGCGGGGGGCAGGTGGAGACCGCCGCAGGGGGAGCCGGCTCCGGTCGCCGGGACCCGGGGCTCCGGCTCCCCGGCTCCCGCTGCTCCGCCCCCT